TTTTGCATAAAACAAAGCCTAACTTTTCTATGCTTTTAATGGCACCTCTCACTTTTTTTTTTTCCCCCCTTCAGAATCCTCAGATAATTTAAAGAGGACTCATAAAATCTGCCAAATTTAAGGGAAATAAATTTGTATGTCTGAGGTAAGCCTAGTTTCAATGCAACAAGATGTGAGTTATTATGAAGACATACACTATGGATATATTTCTGATCATATATATCTTCCTGACCAAAGAATAAGGTCTGCACATCAGATAAGTGCAGGATAAACATAAAAAAAAATGAGTTCTGCAATAATACCTTTTCACCATTGGCCTTCGACCACTAGATGGCATCTGTGTGCTAGACCAATTTTAACATTAAGAAAATGGTTATGTCAATAGTACTGGATCTTTTTCATTAAGTAACTGCTTTAAATTATTGTATAAAATTAGTATAAACAAGACAGATCAAGGAAAAGCATGTCTTCTTACCCTAGGTGGTAAAGGCAAGGCAAAAACCTACAAGACGAGCACATCAGTTGTTTGTTGTACTTTTAGGCAAGCGCCTTGAGTAGGAACAAATTAAGTAACATGTTTGTTCTCCATCACTGCTTTACCAGAACAAGGCCTTAAACCTTACAGCTCATCCTCTTAACCCAGCCTCCACAAAACTAGATGCAATTAAGATGCTGTTAAGATATTAATTAAAATGTAATTGTCACAACGTTCCCTCTCCCAGTATTTCACATGATACATGTTCTATCTTTGTGGACAGTGCAAGAAACCACTCAGGAGTAGCAACCTGAAATGTAAACAGATAACATTCTGGGGTAGGTAGGAGAAAATTAATTTCTACCTGCCCAGAAATTTGACATGACCATGAGGACTTCACACGAGGAATGTAGAAAAGCTGCTAAGAAGTAGCCAGAGGAAATGCTGTGAAATACCTGTAATTATTTTCACATCACTGTATGTTTTTAGGGACTTCAAAGCCATGGAGAAAAACATTGCATTGCAACATATTTACTCAGCAAGGTTGTCCTCCACATTCACCCAAGTTGCTCCTCTGCTTCATGTCACACGCTGCACCAGTTTGTCCACAACATGTCAGGTTTTTTTCTTGATAAGCCTTTTCAGTAATTGATTGGAACCATCTACAACATCCTCTCCTGCACTCTGAAGATTCAAACCTTGAAAGAAACATGAGCAGACAGAACCCTCTACCAAAGGGAAAAATCAGTAACTATTATTTTGCTCTCTGCAAATATAGTATAGCTACCTGTAAGATAATAGAAAAACTGCAATCCTGCCTACCTGCTTTACTTCATCCATTTAACAGTAACTGGTCAAGTTAAAACACCAAAACTTGAAATAGGATAGGCAAGCCCAGGTGTAAGAGGATTTTTCAAGCGGTGCTTGTTTCTAGAGCTCTGCCTGGGAGCTTTTCTCATCTTTAACATAAAGCTTATATCTCCACATGAAGATACAGAATAGCTTTTGCTGATCTTAACTGGCAGCTGGATTTAGTTACTTTTTTATATGGCTGCTTCAAAAGACTGCATCTGCAGCAGGCTACCGAGGAAGCCTGGGCTGCCCATTGTTAACAAAGGCAGCAGAACCCAGGGAAAGGTCTGTGCTAGGCCACATGCAGTGCATGTACTCTGTTTAGAGCTCCACCTGTTCTGTTTCAGGCAGCAATAAGAGTTTTCCTTGGAAAAGATTACTGTAGCTGTGTATTGGCAAGGGCTTATGGCAGATGGTTACTTTGAATTATGCTTTAAAATTCTCATTTATTGGGACATACAGGTACAGAGATTAATACGACTTCAAAGAAGACACTGGGGAACAATTTTTGTCCTTACTACCAATTAACATTTTGAGATCATTATTATTTATTTTAACAAGGCACACTGAGATGCAGAAGAAGTAGCTTTGCTGTTTTCCCAGCAACTCAAGGATCTATCTGTAAGCAGAATGCTCAGACACTACTAGTTCCAGAAATATATGGAAGACAAGACACTGGCATACCCAACACTACTAGTTCCAGAAATATATGGAAGACACTGGCATACCCGTAACACAAAATACCTGAACTTTTGTCTTATCTTGGTAACTTATTTACCATCTCAACACTGACTTACTGTCACATTGTCTTCCAGTGTTCAGTTCAATATGGCCTGAGCTTTGACCATGATACATTCAGTGAGATGCAAGCTTGGTTAGAAGCCCATGAGTTGCACACTGCCATCTGGTTAGATGCTGTCATAAAAACTCTGATCAACCTTGGGAACAAAGCAAGCAAAATCCATTTATGATCCAGGGGAAAAAAGTATATGGCTGCACTGAGAGCAAGCCTGAAAGCTGCTACTACTAATTAGCAGAAGCAAAGAGATGACAGCAAAGAAAAAAAATCCAAGGCTATGCCTAAATATCCCAAGTCTGGTATGGTAGTAAACCACACTGCTTGCTCTGTCACCCTTACTTGTTTGCCTGCTCATTTGAAGCCAAACATTCACATTCATCCTCATGTACATTACAAAGCAGTTAGATGAAGTTACAACTCAAACAAGTTACGGAGTCACAGTCACTGAGGCAGAGGGGCCCTGGTAGACCATGACATGGGACTCTTGAGGCAGTGAAACTGTAGCAGCAAAAAAGTGCAGAGAGAAGAGAGAGAGACTGCCTCCTAGAATCAGGTTCCCTTTTCTACCTCTTCCAGAATGAGTAATAGTAAAAATACTAAAGATCGATTTTAACATTGTAACTGTAAACTGAAGCAGTATGGTGAGTTCCGTTATGTATGTGATGCTCCTGACTTGATTTTAGTATCGAACAATCATATCTGTTAGGATAAGATTATTACATCATGTCTTTTTTTCCATAATAATGATGAGGGATGTTAGCAGACATCCCAACTCCCCAGAAGTCAAAACAGCACTCAAATCTTTTGCAAGTTATTGCTGCTATATAAACCCAGCAATTCTTCAGAATACCAAAATAAACTAAGAATTTCCTGTTTCTTTAGGACACATAAGGAGGCCTGAAGACTTTATTTTCATTTTGACACAGCATCTGTAATACAGGCGAGCATGTTAGATACTCACATAACATACAGCTTTACACCTGGACATTTAATGATACAGAAAACATTGTTCCAGAAACTAAGTAAAAAATTCAAAAGTGTTAATCCAGATGTTTGGTAACATGATGCTTCTTATAATAGAGGCTGGCACTTGGTAAAACCCAGCATTTTCAAAACTTCTAACACTAAACCTCAAGTAAGCAGTGACTTAAAAGCAGGTAGCTACCCTGTCAAGGCTTACAGAACAGTTTTCATCCATTACACCTTGTCACAAACTGAAGCTACTCTCACACAGCTCTCACCACCAACTTCCAAGAACAAGTGTCTTTGAGCAATATCAGAAGAAAATCTACCTCTACATTCTATTCTAGGTATTGAAACTCTGGTGCTTGCTTCTAGGAGGGATAAGTTAAACCATTGTTCAAAACCACAGACCAATCCAATACAAATCAATAACAGAAATATATGTTATTTTTTTAAAAAAAACAACAAACTCCACACTTTTTGATTAACAGTATGTTAAAATAACCAGTCAGACTTCAAATGAATTAGACAACTTTTACTAAATGAAAAAAACCTACATTTAAAATATGCATTTAAAACAAAATGGAATTAGAAAAGAGTTTTAAATCCATTTTTAAGAACTTGCTCGATGTGTCAGAAATCAATGTATCTCTTGCATTATATAATGTGCCAGTTCATAAAATGTAAGTTACCAGAATCCTCAATTTAACATTTTCAAAGACAATACTGAAGTCAAAGAGTTTTACATCTACTGATGCACAATTAGAATGGTATAAATCTGAAGCCTTCCCCCAAAGAAATGTAAAAATTTTACAATATTCAATAAAAGCTTCTGTTGTTTTAGCCAATAAGTATTGCATCCTAAAGCATCACAAATCTGTGCCTTTCATTTATCCTAGTATAAATTTTTTATCTTCTCTATCTCGCCATTTGCCAATGTTAACTCTTTTTAAGAAAGTAGAGGACTGAAAAGAAATACTGCAAAACTCAATCATGTACAGAAATTATTGCTACTATAGTACACTACAAAGCAGAAGTCTACACAATAGTATATGAAATTTGATCATGAAAATCCAAAGGATATAATCTTTAGTGACATAAGCCTTATAATCGTGTTGGACATTCCAACAACATTTCCTGCTCACCACTTGTCAGCTGCTGTCCACTGATGAACATCCATTTAAACGTACCCTCTCAAGAATGCCAGCTTTCAAAGGCTTAGCAAATAAGGATCTTCATGTTTTGTGGAACTATGTAAGATGAATTTTGATGTAGGTAAGAAGTTACCTGAAAGCTAAGCATGCCAAAGGTGTTTCATGCTAATAAAACTAAAGTCAAGGTACCACATAATTAAGTTACCAATTGATAGGCAATATCATTTTTGTCCTAAGTTAAATGAAGTGCCACAGCACAGTGTAATGTCAATAACTTAAAACAGTGTAGTGTACAAATTCCTTTTGTGGCAGTTTAAGTAAAAAGTCAAGACCAGTTTTTCTGTCTCAGTTTGTTGGCTGCCAAGCTGTCCGGTCTGGGCATTTTGGACTTTGCCCTTTCATCACTACTGTACTATAAACTTTGCATTATAATGAGGCATACACTTGGGCACCAATATTATGAACAACAGGGGCTTAGGGGCGAGCGTAAGAGATCCACGGCTGTTCTAAAAAGCTCCATCTTTATTTCAATTTCAAAGAGAGCTGGGAAATAAGACTAGATACCATATTTGCATCATTCTAGCTACAAATATAACCAAAGTAAAAGCAATCAAGCAACAATAAGACCACATTACACAAATGGAACATCATGCTCTCATCTGGTATAACTATTACATCAACTTTTTACTGGGATGTTGGTCAACTTTAAAAACCGTGGTAAATGTGAATATGTAGTTGCAATAGTTTTTCCTAGTATTTTTTTACTCTATGCTGGATATTTTAACTTGGAGCTATACTTGTTACAATACAGTGTCGCACGTCTTTCTACTAGAAAAAAATTAATAAAGATCCTTTACCCGTCTCTTTAAGTTAAATGTGTGACATCATAAAGGGTGTCAAATGGCTGGATGGTTTTACAGTGCACATTTATTATATACTGTAATACGGAGTTTTGTCCTTGACAGATCTGATCATGTTTCTATGTTATTCCTTTCTTCACCTCTTCTTCGGTGGATTAGCTGTGCGAGGTGGAGTGACTGGACGCCCAGAATTCAGTCCACCATACTGGTACTTGGCTTTCTTTTCAGATGGTTTCAATATCTTAGAGAAAATAAAGAAGTTCTTTGAGTCAGTGCCAGCTAAGAACATTTTAGATACTGTTAAGATATATGAAATCTCATTCTTCAGCAACAAAAGGGGTGAGGGTGGGGGACAATCCTACAAATTTCTTTATACTAAATACAGTAACATTACTTCTAAATTCTTCTAGTTTCACCACTACCCTGGGGTGAGAAGGGGAAAAAAAGGGACTGAAAACATATCCAGGAAGGTGTAGGGATTAAAATCTGGTCAGAGTACCACATTAAAAGAGCACATTAGTCTGAGTCATTAGGTATTCTGATCACTAGGTGTGACAAAAAAGAATCATCCAATTAAAACTTGAAATAAGCATCTGAATAGAGGGAATAACTTAACTTTCAGGAGTTTGGAAAACAGGAAATCTCATAGTTCTCTGGAGAACAGTTGGCCTGCAGTTCTAATTGTCCAAAAACACCAGCCAGCTGTGCAGCCCTTTCTGTAGCTCAAGTGTATTCCCCTAGACTAGGCACAAGCTCATCGACAGACTAACTCAGTCCATATAACCCTGCACCTAAAGTATCACTTAGCATACAAAAGTATCATACCTGAAAGGAACACATCAGAGTTTCATCCACACTCATCATGCCCCCTGCATTGTCAAACTCTCCACAATAATTTGGAGCTGAGAATAGGGTGACCAACTGCCGTTTAGCAAAGAATTCATATCCATCTTCAACCACCTGTCAACACCAGAGAAATCAATACAGCTCACCAAAAAAAGATACATTTTGAAGAAAAAAAGCCAGTCTTGAGGCAAACAGGACTCGTATCAAGAAGTGACAGGAACTAATCAAAAAGGTATTTTATGGCAAAAAAGCTTTCAGATAGGACAGGTTCAGTCACTTTGTCTCGTCTGGACACTGAATGACAAATCAAGTAAATTAACCTGTATGACACTTCCAGTGTTAATTATGCATCAGCTTGACTGACCAGTATTTTCATACTTGAAGTTTGATTATGCACAGCCAGTTTAAGAATCCCTGGCATTTTATGGTTTATACACAGAAACTGGATGTTTGGACTACTAGCTCAGAGCACACGAAGTCTGGATACCATCTTCACTGCAACTGTATATGTTAAGTTTCACTTACACTGGTGTCAATTGTAAAAAGCACAAATGTAGGCTTCTTTGTAATTTTGATGCTCTAAAAGCAAAGTGGGTCTGCTGTATTTTCTCCAAAAGCATGATTCATCTTTAAAATACTGCAAGTAGCACGATGCATCAGCTAAGGATGTTCCCTCTTCTCCAGAACAGAAATCACATTTTATACTGTAGTAAAATTAGTGCACTAACTGCTCACATTGGTCCAACTACCATGGTCTTTTAGAAGAAGTCCTGCTTAATTTATAAAGTACTGAAGTGACACATGAATACAGGAAATCAGCAGCAATCTTGATCAGTAGTTAAGAAATCTTAACATCCATTCCACAGAGTGACTAATCTTTTAGTGGTAAAACTGCAAGTATTTAAGTGTTCTGATAGTACGCTCAAGCCTAGCAGTGACAGAGTAGAAAGCCTATTTTTGTTGCACAGCAGGAGAGAGCTTTTAAAATTGACTAAATAATGAAACTGAAATGTTAAAGAAGGAATGCTTCAGAGGAAACTGAAACCTGATGTCCACCTAACTAGGACGTTTGCTTAAACGTAATAAAAACTGCAAAAAAGTGCACTCCCACGATCACAAAAATACCCTTGCTTTCTGCACATTGCAGGAAATCAAATAATCTATGCCAAAGTATTCTACGTAGCCAAACCAAAATGAAGGCAACAGTGAAAACTTTTGTGTGCAGACCTGTTTGTAGAAACATTAAAAATGCATTTAATACTACCATGAAGTGAGGCAAAAATAGTTTAATCCACAACTACCAGATAGCTGTAGATAGCTACACAAATTGAAGAACTCTGAAACTTCAGTGTAAATCTCAAATTCAAGTCACTTTTTTTACTTTAAACCTGGAAAATTTATCTCTGATGTTCATATACAGTAATCTAACAGCAAACAAAGAAAGACCTCAACAGGGAAATTGTGTTAGTATTTTACCTCACTGACATTAGACAGAGTTCAATGAGACAAAACAAAGACACAGCCTTATAGTACCTTTATCTTTTTTTTCCTAGAAGTAACACAAAGTAAGTTGCAAATATATCCTAATGATAAGCAGCTCCAAAAAGGCTGAAAGTCTAGAAGAAAGGGCTTAAGAAGCAACAGCAGCATAAGTCATACCTGGTGAGCTCGACAGATCAAATCCAGATCGTGACGATTCAGAAATTTACTGACCACATCAGCACCAAATGTGAAAGAGACGCCACGATCATTTTCACCCCAACCTTGCACATCTTTGTCTGGATCAGACCACAGCAGGTCACACAGCAAGCCTTTGAAAGATAATAAAAGTGAAGATGCTTAAGAGGTATCATTCTATAAAATAAAATTATTTAATTTTAAGTACAAGAGCAACTCTCCTAAAGAAAATAAGCCTTAGCAACAAATTCAGCAACACTTAAACTGCAATTCAGACAAAAGATACGGTCTATGTAAGTCTGGAGATTTTTCTCCCCACCCTCACCGCTGATAGCACCTTGAGACAAAGCAAGTTAGAGGCAAATAGTTTTCTGAAAAAAATATTTTAATTGTAATATTCAGCATGTTTACAGTGAGCATTTGAGGAGTTTAAAAGTATTAGAGCAGGTGAATTTTAAAAAGCAACCATCAACTTCACAACTCACCAAGAAAGCTGTTTGAAAGCTGCAATAAATTTTAAAATCCTATGCAAGGCCAGTCATTAATACAGCAAATAAACTTGTACCACAAGCTTCTGAACATGGAACAGCTTTGATTCTTCACGAGAGTCAAGAATCTCATGTGACTAAATCAAAAGTTATCATGGCAATTCTGGTAGATTGTTTCAGATAGCACTTTCCGTTTGCTTCAACTTAACTGCTAACTTCTCAAAAAACCTCATGCCAACCAGCCTGGAACCTAAATTAGAACAATAAAGCTCTCTGGCATTTTAGTAGTGGTCAAGATCTTTTTTCTGCTGCCAACAAACGTTCAGCTAAATCTGGAGTTAGAACTAGGAATGAAAAAAAAATCTGCTAGATCAACTGCAATGCTCTTATACACAGAGCTTCCAAAGCATTTTCACATCAGAGAGAACCAGGCCAATTCAACTTCAACACCAACAAACCAAAAAGCCTTAAAAATGTATTTCTTAGTTTTCCATTAAATTGTACTTTTTTTAACTCCTGAGGACTAACCCTTAGGCACCTAAATACTTCAGATGTTTCACACTGTTTCACAAGGATATGCCAGCAGGCTCCTTTATCTGTCATTCAGAAGTTTAATTCACTATTATGTCTGGCTATTTGCTAAACAAAATATTGAAGATGCTATTTCTTAACAGATCCTTCAAGATGTAATCAAGCAAAACTAATGTCTTCAAACTTATTGTGCAACTAGACCAGTTTATATTTACACACAGCTATCAAATAGTCTTTGATGCCTGTTACAGTTCCTCTCTAGCAGAAAGTATGATTTTATTTGCTTTCACAAGACAGAAAAGAGCAAGTGCAGCTGCATTTAAGATAATCAATCTAGAAATTAACTGTTGAATATAGACAGCATATAACAAAAAATTACTTTGCTGAAACTTAGTTCTATACTGAATAACATGTTCTCCAAAACAGAATAGCTGCACTAATCCCTAATGGTTTTTTAATGAATTTCCAATGAGGGTCAGAAGCTGCTTGTCTCAGCTGCTTAGAAGGTGATTCCTCTTCTATTCTCTCCCCAAAATCAGATAATTTTATAGTTATATACAGAAACAGGTACATCTGTCCTATAATCTTCAGTAGTAGTGCAACAAAATCCTGCAACAAGTTTGTCTAAGCTACGCTGCCCAAGAAGGTTTGTATTTTAACATACATCTCCCATTGAAATAGCTTTGGTTGACCAGGAGCTAACATAAGGCATTCAAGATTACCCAACAGATGGAGTTAGTTTCCTAATAAGCAAATAGTTGGCAAAGCTGACCAAAACACATCATTTTACTCTGGCCTTGTAAAACGCAAATACTTTTAAAAGTAACTGAAGGCAAGTGATTTAAGTTGGAATACAGTCAGATTTGAGCAAACAGCTTTCAAACCCCATAAAAATGCAAGCAAAGTAAGAGGTCTTTACATTGCAATTGAGGTTGAAAAGGCTTTTTTTTTCCATCAGGCTCGAGAAAGCTGTTGTAATGATCTACTCTTCTCAGCACGAGCCACACAAACATCTACCAAGAATTCCTCTATCAACACACACATTCACCCTTATCAACTTCCTTCCACAACAGTATAGCTTTTAGGGATTTGTACCTTTCAGAGAAGTGAGACCCCTTCCATTTATTTTTTTCACTCCCATTCTGTAATATTGGCCTTAAGTGGGTCCAAAAGACCAAGACCTTCTACATCACTGTAGCTTATGCACACATGCCTCTCTCTGACGGGTCATTTTGTTTTACCGTAGCTGGTAAATACCCAGCTACTGCTTCTGAAAGTAAAGCTGAGACTACACATCAGGTTGTAAATCAAAACCCTTTTTTATATCTCTATACTTATTTTTAGGAGGTACTAAGAACACAATTTCGGTGGAGCATCCATGGAAACCAAAACTACATTTTGCAAGGGCATTCCTGGGTGCGGCTCAAGCATAAGTAGTAGCCTGCTGCACAGAACTACCCTGACAGCTTTGATAAATTTAAGATTGAGCACCTGTACTAAGACATATTTGGTTATGCATTCAGTGAATTTTAAGTAGCACAAAAGGAAGAACAATGTAGTAATTTATACTAGAGAAACTCTCATTTACCAGTCTAGTAATTCTTCTTAGTGCCAAGTGTATATATACCAGCTTGCACAGAAATGTTAGTTTAAGGGTCAGTACCTACATAAATACTAGTCCCTGGAGCACTCCCATGCATCAGCACTGAGGAGCATTACTGGAAGTAGAATTCTTCTATTCCAAGGTTTAACTGTAATTGTAATGTTTCAAAAACAGGTTTAGATGTGGTACCTCCTGTGCATGTTATTTCAGACCACTGTTGAAATCAGCACTTTAAAAAATATCCTACTGTACTGCTCCACGGTCTTTCCAATGCACTAATAACAATTTTGAATAAATGGGACAATAAGGAAGATAATTAATTAAACCATTCAAAAGAACACTGTACAGAAAGCACTGGCAATTTGCATACAACACCTATATACAAAGTATTACTGTATTAGTAGGAGATTTCAGGACTAGCACATGACACAAGCAATTGAAATCCCAATCACAGTGAAGTAGGAGCTATATTTCACAAATTTAAAGAGGAAAAAGATATGGCCCCAAGTAGAGAGAAGCCAAAAGATTTTAACTGCCAAAGCTTGCCAAGTATCATTTATGGTTTTTGATAGACTAAGAGGTTTGGGTAACAAACCTTGCCTAACAACAGCAAGAACTAGCTGTTTAGTTCAATTTGATTTTTCATTAGATTTCTAAGTTTGTTTTAAGGCAAATGTGGTTAACTTCCTAAACCTGGATAATGCATCCTAACCTGCTCTGACAATCAAGAACCATGTGGGCAATAGCCTCTAACGTGTCAGATAACTTAGTGATCTTGAGGAACAGGACTCGTAACCTGCGCAGACATCAAGGAATACCCTACTGTGAACAGAGATTGTGTTATGTCACTGCATTGTCTGTACAGAAATCGATTAAACCTGTTTCATCATTAAGACCTATTTACAGTAAATTCTGTGTCACTCACCTGTGTCAGGAACATCTGTAGGTCTCATAATTCTCCGGATCTGCTCCATTGACTGCAGATCTGGAGACAGTCCTGTAAATAAAAAAAACACCAAGTGACTTATCTACCTATACTATCAGTAAAAGGGATTCCAGAAATTACACAATTAAAGTCATACAGCATCCACTGTTTCCACTGTAATATGAAAAAAGGACAGTGAGCTATAGAACAACTAAGGTCCTGAACAGAGGGACAGAGAATAACACAAGTGAAATCCGTAAGGGGTTTTAATTGGTTTCCTACTTTTCTTTTATCTACAGAACTCCAAAATTAAGTATGTTGTCTTAAACAGCTTACTAGAGAGAACCACTGAAGGACACCATTCCCATTATCTAACATAATTAAAACTGGATGCAGATGACTTTTTTAACAACTGAAGGAAAATCCTCTACACAACTTTAAAAGGCCACAAGCCAAAGCAGCCTGCAGGTGTGACTGGAATCATAAGCCACATGATCGTATTTCAGTATTTTACCACACATCAGCTCAGCAGCAGTCACTGGATGCTGTAAACAAATACTAGACTGTGAAACTGCCACAGAGGAGCACAAGATGGTGAACAACTACAGCCCAGCTGCGTAGTCATTTATAAAATCATAGTACCTTTATTACTCAAAACCTCATTTAACACAAAGACAGCTCCTTGTAATTACATGTAATTACAGCCAAAGTGTGCCATTCCAAAGCCACCCTTTGAACAGCTTTACAAAACCTAGAGCTTTTCTACTTAAGGCATATAGGCATAAGAGCCTACTAGATGCACTAGCATCTTACTTAACACATCCTTAAATAAGGATCCTAAAATGCAATACATTACTTAGGCCAAGAAAGCTGCAATTTTGGAAATAGAGAATGAAAACCCAACTTGTGATGAAGCATATACCATATTAGAAAGCCATATCCATTTTACTCAGCCCAAAACTCTGAAAATGATACAGGAAAACTTGTCATTGGAAAAGAGACACCATGTAAAATAATTTCAGCTGACATCAGTTTGCACAGTGGCAATGTACAGGAACAATGACTCCAAGGCATTTGATATAAATACTTGAGGAACTTTTCTTCATATACTAGTATTTTTAGTTATTTTTGTAGAAGAAGTCTTATGATAAAAGCCTTTTATCACCATCAGCTTGTTAAAGCTGTCTTCACAACACTACCTTGAGGTTGTGAAGGATGACAGAAATTTTGCATTGAATAGCTTAAAGGAGTTTTAGTCAATTCTACTTAAATAACAATATAAGGATACTAATACAAACTCAAGTAGACAGTCAGCTTTTAAACTTTGACCAACCTACCACTTCCCCTTCCTCAGAACTAATCTATATGCATGCAGATTACATGGGCAAAGCCACGTGGATTCTACTGATAACTACTCAGCACCACATCTTGAGGACAATCTTCAGTGAAACGAACACAACCAGTTTGACCTTCTGTGAGATTACAGCTCTGTGTTTCAGGTTCCACCTGAAACATGAAGCTCTTTTAAAGATAATACATTATTACAAGCCATGTCTCAACCCTGCAGCTGTTAATTTTTGTGCTGTTTTATACTACTGTAAAATAGTAAAATCCCACAACTGCCAGCATATTTGTAGACATCTTTGTAACCACCCAAGAGGTCTTCTCTTCCCAAATATCTTCCTAACTTGCACTGTACAAAAAAACAGCTAACGTCTCAAGTTCAGATCTACAGACAAAAGTCGTACATGATCAGCATTACATAAAGGAAACAAGAATGCAAACACAGGCTACTAAAGCTCACTGTCAAGCTGCTGCCACTACTGAAAGAACACTGAAAATCAGTACACAACTGAATGAAGCTGTCTTGTCACATAATGGCAGCTAGGCACAGAAAAAGTATCTTTCAGTATATTATGGTCTTGAACTGCAAGATCACCCCTTCCCTAAGGTGAAAGAAAATTTTGTTACTCCTGGCAGACTCAACAAATCCAGGCTCTAGATTTGAGCCACTCCTTGATCAGCGCAACTGGTAAAATAAGAATGGTAGTAGTGTGTAAATCCAGGCAGCTCCTCAGGTTTCTTTGGATACTACTTAAGATTATCAAGGAGACTTCACCTTCAACATACATTTCATTGTCATTAGTGTCACATGAAGAACAGAATTTCAGAGCTTGAAAATACTATGTAAATCCAGTCATAACATGACTCCCATCACAGAGCTTAAATTCAATGTGGTAAGACCAACATGCTCCATCAACATGGCACTACAACATGGACATAATTTAAAGAAACTTGAAGGTAATCACGTCTCCAAACATTAGAACTATAGTCTGTCATCATAGATGAAGAGAACAATACTGAAAAGAATACAAAACAGAGAACAATGGCAGAAAGTTGGAAAAGGTTAAAGCTTTAATGAAGTGGAATAAAGAGCAAAGTCAGAAGTCAAGAGGACAGCCTTAAGAAAAGGCCAAAATATTAATTGTATGAGGAACATGGAAAGACAAGGAAAAGAGGGAGGTAATGGAAAGGATACAATAAAAGATCCTTTCAGCTGCATGAACATTTGGAGACAGGGGTGGTGATACAAATTTGATTTATACCATGTAACAGAGAACTCAAGAAAAGCAGATGCCCAGAAAAATCTCGGTAAAAAAAGCTGATACATGATTTTAAAGCTATTGTAGATAGCCTACTGGGGTAAGTTAGGTGCCTTTTGTTTTACTATGTTATGCGGTTTTGCAAAGTTTTATTATATATCCCAGAGGACAATATTTTTAAAATAAACTATGCAAAAATGCGCAATATAGTAAAAAAGGCACCTACCTTATATCTACATGCTAGCTTCAGCATCCAGCAGAGTTGAATGGTTTGTGTTGCTGTCTCAGTGTTTATTATAGTAGTAACATCATGAAAAGGCGCTGACAGTCCATGACTTCATGGAATCTGGAATGCAGTTTGGACAGGATTGGAGAAGAGTGGAAAAATGTAAAAACTTACTGATGTGCTAAATGTCCACTGATTTATTAGGAGCACACAGCATGTTTATTAATCTTTTCACTTCATGTCACAGCCACAAGTGAGTGTCAGCAATTTTAGTTACAGATGAAGCCTGTACAAGTTTAAGTGTCAATCATAATATATTAAAGCAGTAAATACTGTTTTTCATGAAACAATCCTTATACTATGCACAAAATTGAAGTTTTCCTACTTGATTAAACAAGAGGTTAACCCCCCTATATTTATAATAAAGCTTTAATTATTTTTTTTTCTTGAAAAATAGCTTTTAGGCTTCTTGCTCATAATTCAGGTCCAAAGTGCATATACACACAAAAGTACCAGTTGTGTTCCAGAACACAACATTCTACTCTACCTGCTAAGCTTCCTTGATTACATTCTACAACCCACCTAAGCTTAATTGTTTGCCTGAAACATGACAGTATTTTGTCACCATTGACTCTCTACTGTTTCCCAAATAGAACAAAATTCAAAAATAGTATAATGTAGTAAAAGAAATTTGTTAAATGGTTTAGCCACAGATAATAGACTACCATGCTGCGAAAGTGACTTTGTATCTCAAATTCCTAAAAGTATGAGATCTAGCTCATAAGACAGGTACATTTTCTAAAAAAAAAAAAAAAAAAAAAAAAAAAAAAAAAAAGACACTACACTGATTGAGAAGGAAATGAAAATATGATCTATGATCTCTCAATGCTACCTGGAGACTTGCAGACTCAACTGTTTAACTGTCAGAGCATATTATGCGTAAGACTGACAGCTTGTACAAACAGGCACTGAAGGCAGAAGCTTTCAATACAAGATGCATGAAGAACCAGGATCATTTTTACAGCACATTCCATACAGACAGAGCTCTTGCAGAGATACCTGTAAGTAGTAAAGACAGAATGGCAGCCATCAATACAACCTCACAAAGTCTGGAAGAGTCTGCTCAGGAATTTTGGGTGCATGCTATTTATCATTCCAAACAGAACTGTTTAGTCAATAGAGAGGTAGGTCTCTGCAGTGGTCTCGTTTCCACCAGTCTCTATTTCTCTGACAATTCAAGCGTGAAACCTACCAGACCATCTCTGTAACACTTAGTGCAAGGCATCAAGTTGCTTATCAATGGATGTAGTTGCAAATACAGCTGCAAAAACACAGGATGGCTTTTACTACAAATAATTTGAAATTTTTGTCAATTTTTTGATTCTGCCAGGTCCCAAATACCTGTAAGCACCACTGCCTGTAAAAACATGGGAAGTCCCCTTCTATGTAGATTAGAGCCCATGTAGGTTCCAATATTCAGACAAGTCACAAGCCTTGGTCAGATCAACACCAAACATTTTTTTCACTACAAGAACAGAGGAGCATTGGGACAGGCGCCCACAGAATGTAGATTCTTCCAAAAGCACGGGAAAGATCAAGCCATGCCTGACCTGCTCTAATGCCAACAAACATCTTCAAGCAGAAGGCTTGACTAAGTGACAGCAGAGGTTCTCTTCCCCTACATCTTACCAAAACAGCTGAAGAGGCCAAGACTATAAAGCTGGGGCTACTTGTCAATGTTACTCTTTCATGTCACTGCCACGGGTGTCAATGTCAGCCAAGGCAGCATAGATAGATGGTAACAGCAACAAGCCATGTAGCAAATTAGATGAGAATTCTAGCATTCAGTATCCTTCAGAGGGAGACATACTGATAGGAATACCTACTGATGCATTCACTCCTCAGGCACAGAGGGCCTTTATCAGGTAAGGATGACATCTGTCTGATGCCAGGTACACAGAAAAGCACAAGGCATAACAGCAGCCTTTACAAACGATATAAGGTTAAATATGTCCAGCTAAGTATCAGGTATGCAAATCCACTCTCCATTTGGTACAACATTAACCCAAATACCAGTTTTAGACACAGCTTTTAAAAGCAGCTACTAGCTTACCTCCATGACAACAGAAGATCTTCTCATCCACAATGGCTGCAATAGGCAGACAGTTAAAACAGTCTGTGAAGGTCTTCCACAGCTTAATGTTAAATCGTCGCTTGCCTACAAGAACAGGGTGTGACATTAGGAAGAGAAGGTTGTTTTCTTAAAGCCAACCTGCAATACATATCACAAACTGACCAAAAATGTTAGCCAACTGTCTTCACAGGGATTTATTTCCATTATTGTAATTCAGTTTCAATCTCCTGCAATAGCATTTGAAGGACAACAGAAAAGCAAATAATTCTCTAGAGTGCTTTTAACCTTGGTTTGAAATGTTATTTTCCAAAGTTTCAAAGCAGATTCAAAAAATATGGAAATTCTTGTGGCATAAGAGTCACTACTAGAAGTGTGTCCGAAACACAGTATTAATTTATAAGTCTTTCAAAATAAATGGGTTTTGCTTACATTCATCATAGAATCCATAAATCCGATTGATGCTAGCACACTCGTGATTTCCTCTTAAGAGAAAGAAGTTTTCCGGGTATTTGATTTTATATGCCAGTAATAGGCAAATAGTTTCCAGAGACTGTTTGCCTCTGTCTACATAATCTCCCAGGAACAGATAATTAGCTTCTGGTGGGAATCCTCCATATTCAAATAATCGAAGCAAGTCTGTATACTGACCATGAATATCACCTGAGTAAGAGAACATTTAATGACAATTAGTCCAACAATATAAAGAATACACAAACCAAGAAGTCAGCTCATCATTTATTAATTGATCTTAAAAATCAGTATTTCCTTTAAAAGCAAACTTGTAACATATCAGAAGTGCAAATCATGTTCAAATTACAAACTGAAGTACTCACTAAATATAAATAACGCACAGTATTCTCAGAACTATGTCAGTCATGAAACCAATCTAAAAACCAAAAGCTACAGAAGTCTTCACAACTAAGTTTAAGCTTTCTAAGCAAGCTCTTTATTTGCTTAAATTAGAACAAGGTCAGAAAGGCAAACTCTGATGGAACAGTTACATGGCCATGAATCCAATGGATTAAGAGAAAGTAACATTAGTTACTGCAAAAACAGATCAGTGAAGAATCTAGATACAGCAACTGAACAACATGCTGACAGAGCACTTCCGTCAAAGGTCAACTGCTTATCCTCCCATAACAATGCTGTACTAAAGCTGAATGTTGGGGAATAGGAGCCAGCTCCTCTTTTGATGCAATAATTCATACAAAAACGGTACAGAGACTCAAAGACTGATATCCTTTACAAGATATTCAACCCTGCCAGTATTTTTTAGGAAAAATAACCATCACCTTACTCATGACACTGCCAGCTTTGAAGTTATGCAGGCTTTCCACAGAACAGGTCTATATGGCAATTCCAACACCATAGTGTATCCTGTCAGGCTAGCCAAAGCTATTCATGAGCTATCCATAAAGTCAAAGATTACACCAACACTGCTTTACCATAACCGGTCAAATACCTGCAATGTATTCCAGCTGACTGCAGAATTCATTACCAAAGTGACTGAATGCAAAAAAGCTACACAAGAAGCCTTCAGCACAAGCTGTATGCTGTATAAATCTAGTATCTCCAGGGCCCTTATATTAAGCATTCCATAAATGCATTTTCTCTCTGCTGCTCATTCAGTGGCAAAATCCCAACTTTGTTGAGCACAGCCATTCTCCGGTAAAGCGCTAACTACCTATGGCCTTAGAAAAAGCAAAACACCAAAACATACACATCTTCACAAGTTTTTCCGTAATCTTAAACAAAACAGGTTCCCCAAACTGTATGTTCTATGGTTCATTAATCAAAGCATACAGTAGTAAGATTACCTAGCTATATTCCTCTTCCCTCTTTCCATTAGAAATGCAATAGTTCCTCCTCTAGGTAGCATTTTTCCATACCTATTTCTCACTTAGGGAGAAGAATTCCTTCCTCACTTTCTTCTAATATCAGAATTATGTATCAAGTAAACATACTACAGATTGAATATTACAATTATTTTTATTGTCTAGAACTACTTTATGAATGTAAGTCGGAGGGATCAAAGTACTTAAAGGGTAAAGAAACTTTTTGTAGAAATAATTTTGTAAAAGAACATTTACTTTTCCATTCAGGACATTTGGCATACAGCTTAACATGAACACAAGTTACATTGAAGCCTACCAAATATAAAGCTTTATAGTTAAAAACATGTAAATGAAATGTAAAAAAACCCGTGTAAAATGAATGTCTACATAATATCTTACATTAAAACACAGCCATTCAAGATGTAAAAGCTTATTTTGAACTGACTTGATTACAGGAGAAGACAGCCCTATAATGGTTCCTAAGGCATTGCCTGAACACACTAAAATAGTCGTTCAAAAGAAGTATAGCTGTGTATTTTGCTTTTTGTGAAAACCATTTTTTTTTTCACTTTCATCTACATGCATCTTTGACAATTGCTCTAATATTAAATTTAGATGGTGCTATCACTGTGTTTGGAATCCCGTTTAAAAATAAAAAATGCCTTAACTGTGTATTTGCTACCCTATTAATGTGCATCTAACTGTCCCTTCAAACACACTGATTTAAGCAAATTTGAAACTAATTCTGAAGGAAGCTAATTATATTTTCTGCAAAATTTAATTGACTTACATACAATCTAAATGTCTAAGTCTTCATTTTTTCTTTATCTACAAATACGATGAGACTACTGAAGCCTTTCCAGCATAGCATAAATACATTGTGCTAAAGCTGGATTTACCTTGAACTTTATTTATGTCATTAGGCAAGCTGGTCCCATTTTTTCTCCTCACCCTATCAAGCAATTAGTCATTTAAAAATGACTTTGTCATCAGTGTTTTTTTAAACTTTATTTTTAATTTGTAATAACCTACCTTAATGTAAGAAACATTGCTACTTTAGGTCTGCCAGGAAGAAACTAATCAATCTTTGAGCATGTTAGAACAACAAATTCAAAGACTGCTTCAATTGTAATACTATGATGCTTAAAAAGCCTAATTTGAGAAATTACATACTTTGTAAAGACTGCATCTGATGTGAATAACTTGAAGGATGACTACAAGCCAATATTTACAATACTTTTGCAACAGTTTTTAACAAATTTGCATGCTTACTAACAACAGTGTGGTTTTGAAGAAGCCTAGCATCTTAAAGGTTTAGGTAAAGAACAGATTTTAATTTTATCTGTATCTGATAGCAATAATGATTGTTAAAACTTGCTATAAAGCTCAAGGAATTTATACATGGTAACTAAACCTAATTTCACAGATTGCATCCAATTTTTTTCAGTTGAAAGACTAACAATGCTTTCTTCAACACTATATTTGAAATGCTCCATTTCACATACGTAAAGGTATTTGTTTTGCTCATGGTTTGAAGAAAGCAACTACAAGATTAAATACTCGCTATTTTTAAAGACACTAACAGCTTTTTGAAATAGTGATCAAACAAACAGCAGCTCTGTACAAGCAGAAGGGACAGGTTACAAAATTTGCACTAGATGAGGGCACAAGCAGCCCTTATTGCCAACAGAACTTGCTCCTACATAGTACTAGGAGCACCAGCAATCTACCAACTGTTAGCTGTATTTTCTTGAATTAATCCTACATAAACTGAACATGACAGTTAAGACTGTGAAGGGCTCACTCTAACTTGTCTCACCCAAGTCTTGGTCACTTGCCCATCTCGGTATGCTTCCATCCACCTAGCACAGAACTAGAGTAAAATACCTAAATAAAACACATACATACGAAGTTTACATACCACAAATTTTCAGAGGTGCTTCTAGTTCCAGGAGAATAGGCTGGCTAAGAAATATTTCCCGTGACTTTATGCATAAGCCTCGAACTTCTGCTTCGGTCATCTGAACGATCTTCCCAGGACGACATCCTCGTACTGAAATGAGATGTTTAATAATTGAAGGTAACTATCTCAGATACACAGCAATAAATAAGTGCAGATAAGCTGTATTTGACATGTACAGTTGACAAAGAGCCAGCAGCACACTTCAGCATACCTACCAAATTCCAGTGACTTCTAAAATGAATCTCTGATACTGTGGTAACCTGCACTCAGAAAGCCTGTATGCATTCCTGTTAAATCAGGTTCTCAGGAGAGAACAATTAAGGCTTGCTTTCAACCACATTTGGATAAATATCAATTTCACAAAGTGTTTAAAGGAACAATCCCATTATGTCATTCACAATAGGCAAAAAAACCTGAGAATGGAAATCCTGAAAACACTTTCACATTAGCATAAAATAAACCTCTTTCAAACTGTTGAGTTCAACAAGGCTAGCTAAATACAAAGAAAAAAACCACAATCACATTTACATACATGTGCAGCTGCACATCAAACTAAAAACTATGAAAGTTTAATGAAACCTTCATTCATATATAGAGGCTCTTGAGTTATTGGAGTCTTTATGTCCAAAGTCATTCTAATTAGAATTAAATTGAATTTCTACACCAATAAGTCAGGTACTAAGACCTATATTTAGCACTACATTTTCAAAAGCATTCACGTCATTGCGTTCCAACCAACATCCTCTGGCTAAGTTTCTCTAAAGCTGCTTCTTTCCACAAATATCTATATGACTCCTATGTCATAATGTGTCTTTAATGAGACAGGAAAATGAAAAAAAAGTGTCTGTACTTCGGCTGATCTAGTTCAGTCTTGCATCTCAGTATAAACCAAACTTCAGAATTCCAACTAGAAAGCCAGAAAGTATCAGTATGTACAAACAGGCAAACAACCTGTTCTGCTATCTGCTGTAGATGGAAGCAAAACTCAGCATTAAACCATAGTAGTACCTACAAGAGAAGGTGGTATGAAACTTTAGAAGTTCAAATTCAAATGCTTTCAAACTCTAACATAGTAAGATATCACTTTGAAAAATTTAGCTGCAACTTAAGGAAGTTTAGGAATCCTTATGACTGCATGCTTCTCCCAGCACATCTGACTATTTCACCATGATATGAATTTTTAATAAACACCAGACACGCATGTTACATTGAGGTTAGGAAGCAATCACAGGAACATGTGAAAAGGCAGAAATGAAGAATAGCTTTCAGAAGCAGGGAAGAGAAAATGTGAAATTAGATCCTGGGACAGTCAGTTGGGGTTGAGAATAGCAGGAGGGCTGGTCTGCCTGCAGTAAGGATACACTGGAAATACTTCACTTAGAATCTCACAAGAACAAGACTGTGGTACACAGGACTTCTTTCCATGACACTCTGAATCAGTACCAGGTGATATTTGCCATATGGTAAGTCACACTCCTTTTGCTAATTAAGATTTCAACTATACTTGAAGAAGCAAAACAGCTTTTTTTTTCTGTTTTTCTTCATGTGCTAAGATGTTGGCTTACATATTAAAAGAATACAGAAGCAGACATTAGACACAAACAAGATGACTAGAAAAAAATAGATGCCTATAGGCTTCCATTTCATCACATCTCAAACATCTACTAATTGATGCATTTATAGATACACTTTTAGCCTCACGGGGACTTTTAGCAAAAAGAAAATAAAACTCAGTCTTGACAGCTTTGCACAGGACTTGATTATCCACTCTGAGGTTCCAAAATGCTCCAACCTCTACCTTTTCAAGTGCTTACATTCCCATAGCTTATAGAGAACTTTTCCACAGACCAGAAACTCATTTGGATAGGTACAATAAACTGTCACTGTACATGAAAAAGATCCTACCTGAAAGAGCACAGTCTTAACACCAAAATGGCTATAATTTTATTGAAACAACTGCTACATTTTAAACCCATGGCTTACAATATCAAGGTCATGCCAAAGCAGCATGCAGCACAACTAGCTTTTCAGTCCCATTCTTCCCCTACAAACTATGTATCTTTTTAACCTGTTTTGATAATTATATTATCCTCTGTATTTGGCAACTTGAATGTTTTGCAACACCAGAATTAAGCCACTTCATGTAGATTAAAACCCAGAAGTGATGCAACTGAACATTTTTTACATCCACTCTACTTTTGGAAATTGAATTCAGGAAAGCACACCAAACACAACACTAGTATTTCCATTAAGTAGCATCAGACCAAGCACAGAGTCCAAAATTGAAACAGTTCAAGGAGCACACTCATAATACTCAAAATAACTTTGACCTAATCAATATTTCTTCAATCACTAGCTATAGCTCCCTTTGAAACTCACATGGAGGTGTATACTTGGAACAACTGCTTTAGAGGATTGAGGATTTAAGTGCTGCTGGTTTTTTGCACTAGAAGACGTGGCCAAAACACAGCTCCTGACTTCAAATTTAACTGCTAAGTGTATTGATATCAGTTCTTTACTTTTAACAGTAGCACCTTACATGTTTTAAGCCCTTAACAGACAACCAAAAAAAGGCTGTAATTTATTACCACACTATGGATTCCCCAGATGAGTTTCTACAACTGTGGCAACTATGTCAGTCTCAGAAGAGGAGACAACACACATAATGACTGCAGTTACTTCCAGACCTTGGAAAGGGTATAAATTTGGGCCAGCACACCTTTGCAAAGGCACCCTCCCCCCTCCATCTGAACAGTCAGCAGCTCCACATAGCAAACATATAAGCTCAGTTCACCCGAAGAAGTACAAAGCATGTGGTTTCCTGAGGAATAATAATCTATATAGGAGTTGAGAGAAATTAAGTTTTCACCTGCAATCCCCTGATGATCAATAAGGGTACTACATATTGAAAAATGAGAAGTCACCCTGGCAGCCTGAGCTCTTTACTGGATTCATGAAGGCACTGGAAGGATCACCAAGTAGTCATCCAAAAGAGTTGTTCCACAGCTGTGGTACAAATACATGAACAACACTAAGCATCTTTTTCACCAGCTTACTCAACAACTAAAGTTTTGTTGAACTTTCCTTGACTCAGCTGAGCACTGTATGGATTGTAAACAAAAGCATCTCTCACCACACTTAGCTTTTAAAAAGCTAAATCCCCAAAAACAGATTTAACAGACATTGTAAGAATGAGACAGAGAATGTAACCCATGTTTTTCAGACTCATTTACAAATTACTACAGCTAACTTTTCTTACAAGTCATAGCTGCATATATTGTAAAATACATAGCTCCCAAAAAGCCTTTTACAGCATTGAGAAAACAAGTTTTAATGGCTGTCATTTACCCAAAGCAGAAACAGCATCTCAACATTAGACAAATTAATTCTCTTTATTCTAAGACATATATACTCTGTAAACAAGCTTTGATTTACACAAAAGTCTTCAGTAGGGACAGCAATTCCTGTTGTAATACACAATCCCACGTGCATAGCACTATGCTAGAACAAGCGATTGCTGCAAGAAGCTTAAAGCAAAGTGACAGAGAATAGAGAGAATTAAAAGCAACTATATGCATTGCACTGTCAGGCTATTATTTTATCACAATAGATCCTATAGTAATGCAAAAACTGCTTTAATCATCATTAAAATGGTCTCTGCATCTACATAACCTTTGATAAGCAACCTTAGCAAGTCTACAGTAATCAGAGACATGAGCTACACAGTGGCAGGAAAGGAAAAACTTCAGCAATAATTATTTTTTCAATCCCTCCAAATTCTTGCCAGAGTGTAGCAAATTATCTGAGGAAATATTGGAAAGGAAGAAGCGGGTCAAGAGCTGGAGACTGGAAGTTCTGGGAGCAGAACTTTTTACCGTACTCTTTCATGAACTGGAGAAAATATATTTAACCTATTCTGTCACACTGTTTCTGGTTTGCCTCTCATTAAGTAACTAAGCTGCTCATTCTGTGACACCACTGATAAAAAGCGTCTTCAACTACTAAATCAATTGAGGTATTCGCAGCTGTCCTAGAACATTTATACTGTGCTCTGTAATACTACACACAATCTCTTTAATGGACAAAACATTCAGTTCTAGCATAAAATTAAAACCCAGACAGACTTCTTCGAAGTCTCATAAAATAACAGGCCAGTGTTGCTGCTAAGAAGCAGCCTCCTTCGTTCCCTACA